CTTAATTATCCTTCTGACAGAGAGAATAAATATATTGTAAATTGAGATTCTTTTAAAAAGAATTGGTCAATTGAGATTTCATTTAAAATTACGAAATTTCATTTTTTCATTTCATTTCATTTTTATTAATTTTAATGGCAATTAACAGAGAAGTTTATTAAACTTCTTTTTTTATTTATAATAGTAAATTAAGTTTAAAAATTTTGGAAGTTTAAATGTTGTTTCTTTTTTATTATTTTTGGTTTAAAAATGATTAATTGTATCTTTTACAAGACGAATAAGTTTCTATTGTGAATTTTATTGCAATATGGAACGTTATAAAATGAAAACTTAGTTTTATGGTGATTGTTTTACTTTTTACAAATTTGAAAATAATGTTCCTTTTTTCAAGAAAATATATATTATAAATTGAAAAAAAATAAATCTACGTGCATTATATGTATAGATCTAATTTAAAAATAAAAAATTATGATAAGAATAAATATTAAAATGTTTATATATATACATGCATAATAGCATTTTATAGAATCAAATTTGCAATTATTTGAAAAATAGTTAAACAAAATTTTTAACAAATTATTTAAGTCACAGTCAGAATAATAAATATACAGGATGAATTATATAATCTCGAATTGTGATTGGAGATAAGAAATTGTTGATTTAAAATTGAATGTGATAAATATTATTCTTCTACGATCTTATTTTTGTATACATAAATGAAATAAATAGTTTTAAAACCAACAAGATATTGTTCAAATGATATAATATTTGATAATTATTTAAGATAGATTAATGATAAGAGAAATTATCAAATAATGCGAATATATAATATATTTGATATAAATAATTTAAACAAAACTTTACAAAAAAAAAGTATGTGACATATATATTCGTGACTATTAGGAACTTATTTCTTTAAGCACATGAATTATCATAAATTATTTATTTAATGTGTATGTCAGTGTTATCATAACTAGTTTCCATTTAACAATAACGTTCTCCATTTCATTTGTAAAATTTTCATACTTGGGCTATTTTTTTTTTTTATTGTCGATGCATTTACACGAATAGCATATAGAAGCAAAAATAAGTTGTAAAATTCGGAAGAACAATTTGTTTATGTGATACAAGATCGTATAGAAGGACATTTCTCATCACCGAAATTTTTTTTTTGTATGAAACTTCATAATAAAGCTTATTAAAATTATTATGTTAAATTAAGTGAAATACCATTTCTCTTTATGCCTTATCAAAGTTTTATGACGACAACAATAGGACAAACAATATTTAAATATCGCGATATTTCAAGTTTATGATGACAACAGTTACGATAATTTTTCTTCGCATTAAATAGTAACTGGTCATTTCTGATGAATAGTCATTTCGAGCTTAGCCTCTATACTTTTTTTTTCGATAATTTTTATTACTATTATTATTTACTACTGCTAATGATATAATAATACTAATAATAATAATAATATCAACTAGAAATAAATCTTAATTTATATAGAAAATTTACAAGAAAATCTACATTCAATATACGCGTATATCTTTATAAATGTGATCGATTTGTGATAATCAAATGAGAGAAGAATAAATAAATTAATAAAAAAAAAGGAACAAGGAAGATTACATGAGAAAAATGGGAAGTCCAGATACTGGGAGAAAAGACCATTTACAACACTGTAAAAACTTACTCTAATTAATGGTACAATTTCGATAAGAGAGATGGATTATTGTAAATTTGCAGGAACAATTTTGTAAACCCAAAGATCTTGATGTACATGATAATACAAAATTTTAAAACTTGATTTGTTAAAAAAAAAAAAAAAAGAAAAATTGATAAAATATATATAATAAAACCTTGTTTATCTGAATTCTTGTTAAATATTTTCTTAAATAACTGAGAAAGATATGTATATTTTGTTTAAGTTTGTTTAACTTTATTATAATAAATATTATAAATTTATTTTCAATATTCTATAATTTATTTTATTATTAATTAATCTTAAATAATTATCATTAAATTGTCTCAGTATATAATATATATGTATAGGATATCATAATAATAGTACTTTAATTGTGCTAAATAATCCATTTAATTTTCTTTTATGATTTAATATATAATAATTATTTAAGATTAGTGGATAGGAAAATAAATTGTTGAATATTGTGAATGAATCTGTAATATTTAATATAATTAATTTAAACATATATGATCTTTCTCAATCATCATGTAACATATAAATTTGTATATTGCTATATATATATATATATATTAAATGTATCAAGATTTATAATATATGATAATTTAAATAATTTAAATTTAAAATTTATATAATGATAATTTGTTTACATTATAGAAGATACATTTTATAACATATAATTTTTTTTTTATGTGTATAAAAAAACATATATAATTAAAGATAATAAAAATGTTGATTTAAGGAATTACAATATACATATATATATTTTAAGAATCAGATAAACAAGTTTATAACTTATAACATATTGCAATTAAATTTTAAGTTAAATGCAATTTTACTTGGAATAATAGATTTCCTAATCGTATGAAATGAATATTTATCTATTTTCTCCATTTTTACTTACATTAATTTTCTGATGAGATTTTGAAAATACATCTTTAATTAAATCTCTAATTAAAATTAAAGTGTAAAAATG